CGGTCTCCATTTTCATCCCAAAGGTTTGCTCAGCCTTTGTTTTTTTTCACTTGTCTCTTTAGACACTGCCTTCTTTATCTCCTCTCTGCTTATTTAATAGTTTTAGATTCAAATAAAAGTTTCTCTTCCTTGTCCATTATTTCCCCCCAGATTAGAAGTTAAATATGAATTATAAAAACTCCAGCAGTATGAGATGTCAAGTTCACCCTCATCTCCTCATCATGGGGCAAGACTCATCCTACCCAGTACCCAGGCTCCCAGGCACACACACGTTTATATGGAAGTGGTTCAGATTATGTCTTTAGATACGGTTCGACAGCTTGCTTTCCCCCACCTCAGTGTACCATGTAGAGTTCACGGTCACACACGCCTATATCCTAATACTTGGGAGGCAACAGCTGGAATATCCCAAGTTCTAAGCAAAGTCTCAACGACGGAGCAGCAGAGAGGGCACAGCAGTCAAGAACACTGGCTGCTCTTCCAGAGAACATGATGGCAGCTTACAAGACTACGGTCCAAGCGGACCTGGCATCCTTTTTTAGCCTCTGCAGTCATGGGGAATGAGTGTTGTGCACAGACATACTGACAGAACACCCATACAGAAATAGAAGCGACAGAACAAATTATGGTAAATTTGCTTCTTCTGTGTTCCTATCTACTTTCCCCATTTCAGATGTATTTTCCCTCATTTCACCTGTTACAATTAGGACCTGTAACAGGTTCTTGGGGGGGGGTTGTTTGTTCATTTGTTTGTTTGTTTTAAATATGTGGGGCTGGGTAGATGGCTTGGGAAGTAAGGACACTGATTACTCTTAGAAGAACCAGTTTCAGCTCCCAGCAGCTCCGTGGCTCACAATCATCTGTATCTCTGGTTTTAGGGGATCTAACCCCTCTTCTGACCTCTGAGGGATCCTGTATGCATGGTACACAGACATACACTCAGACATAAGAAATTTAAAAATTGTGGATGTATATGAACATGTTTGCATGTGTGCACATGTGTTTGCAGGCTTGAAGCTGATGTTAGATGTCTTCTGTAGTCTCTCTCTCTCTCTCTCTCTCTCTCTCTCTCTCTCTCTCTCTCCCTTCCTCCCTCCCTCCCTCTCTCCCTCCCTCCCTCTCTCGCTCCTTTTGCTTTTTGGGTTTTGTTTTGTTTTGAGGCAGTTTCTCTGTGTAGCCTGGAACTCACTTTGTAGTCCAGGCTGGCTTCGAACTCACAGAGACCCACCTTCTTCTGCCTCCCAAGTGCTGGGATTAAAGGCACATAGCCACCATGTCCAGCTTCACCTTATTTTTTGAGATACGGTCTCTCACCAATTTGCTGGCCGGCTAGTGAGCCCCAGGGATCCTCTTGTCTCCCTGGCCCAGGAGGTACTGGAGGTCAAACTCAGATTTCATGTTTGCATAGTAAGTACTTCATCAACTGGGCCATCTCCCCAACACCTTGAATGTTTCTCTAAAAGGCTGTATAGAGAGGAAAGGCCTTCTGCAGCAAGACTCCCGTTCAGGTGTTCTTTAGTGCCTGCGGCTGTCATCCTGTAATCCTTCTCAAAGTGCTTCACCTGCTCTGCAATCCCTGATGGGTCCCTAGTTCCCTATGACCACACAGTTCTTGCTTCAGGAGGTAGCAACAAGCCAGATGCTTCCACAAGCATTGTACACTTGATATTCAATGGAGGAAGGAGCTAGAGAGATGGCTCAGCTGTTTTCGATCAGTTGCAGACCGTGCAATTTCTTGCAACAATGCGGTGGCTCACAACCATATGCAAGTCTGGCTCCAGGGTTCTCAATATTCTGACTTCCATGAGCTTCTGTACACATGTGGTGCACATATGTACACTCAGGCATGCACACACATAGATTAAATGCTTTTTTAGAAAATCCCATGAATGGATTATTTTTGTCATTTTCCTATGTGTGCATGTATGTGGTCCTACATTTGGGTTTCTTCTATGCATGTGTAAGCCAGACAATGGTGCCTGGAGTCACTGTGATCACCCCTCCACATTATTCATTGAGGCAGGGTCTCTCAATCGAACTGAGTTCTCTAAAACTGTTCTAGCTAGCCAGCCTGTCTGGAATCTCTTGTATTTGCCTCTGAGGCTAGAATTACAGGTGGGCTTCCACATGCCCCTAAACTCTGTTCTGCTTTCCAGGCAAGTATCTTAGCCACTGAGATATCTCTTCAGCGCAACTTACTTTTCATAGCCATCTGTGTGGCAAAAGAAACTTCCTTGTAAGTTTTACTTTAAGTAGAGGCATTCTATAAAGCTTGCCATAATTTGGGGGCAGTCCTGTGACTTCCCGGCTAGAGGTGGATCACAACTGGGTGCAGAAGTAAAAGAATGAACTGGGCGAATCCCAGGCTCACACACAATGTGGTCCTGGTGGCAGCATCATGTCTTTTCTCTAAAAGTATATGATGGGTTGAGGAGGTGGCTCAATCAGTACGTTGCCTCTTGGATCTGAGGATCTGAGTTCCAATCTTCAATACCCATGTAAAAAAATAGGAGGATCTGAGTTCCAATCTTCAACACCCATGTAAAAAAAGCTGGGGGTTAGGCGTAACAGCCGGGGGTTCCCAACCAATTTAGAGATGTATCTACAGGCTTCAGATCCTTGTCCCCCAAAATAAAGGAGTGATGGAGAGACACCTGGTGTCCCCCTTGGAGCTGCACACGCACACACGATGGAGTCTACTGTCATCACGTTATGATACTTCAGGCTGGCCGGCCCGCTTGTCTTGCCTCTGTCTTCCAAATGCTAGGATTACAGGTGTACACCACCATGCCTTGCTGGAGATATCATTTCAACAAATATGCTAACAACCTTTTGTTTCAACCCCACACTAAACCACCTACCAGACTTTCGCAAATTCACATACAAGAGGATGGGAGGTGCAGGTGCTGAGTAACACAATGTGGGTCTCACACGTGAATGACGTGACATTTTGTATAATGAATAAATTGTTCAAAAGATGTAGGTTATCAAGAGAATTGTCTGAAAGTAACAAAATTAGATCCTTGCTTCACACCGCGTATCACCAAATAATGTAAGCGATAAGCCATGTGGCGCTAACCTACACCAAATGAACTTCATGTATTAGAAAATGAAGTAAACCTGAGGTTGTCAGTTTCCAAAATCAGATCACATCTGTACTGCCACGGCTGAGAGACTAAGGTAGGATTACCACCGTGAGTTCAAGGCCCATCAGGGCTGCAAAGCAACACCTGTATCTCAAACAAGACAAAACAAGTGCTCGGTTGGCAGAGGGCTTGCCTCGTCATCGTGAGGACCTGAGTTTGATTCCCAGAACCCATGTGAAAAAAGCCAGATGCAGCCATTGGGTGGCCGATGGTACACTGCCTGCTGAGTGAGGACCAGGACTTGAGTTCCACCCCTCAGGTTCCATGTACGCAGGCTGGACACTTGGGAGACCCATGATGGGGACCTGCATACAGGTGGTTCCGGACACAATGCTGGGGCCAGCAAGTGAGACTATGTCACAGCACCCAAAGAATAACACGTGAAGTTGTCCTGGGGTCTCCTCACTCATGCACACACGTGCACATATGAACACATAGGAAAATAATCTTATAAGCCAGCGACAGAACAGCTCAAGGAAACGCACACATTTGCTTCAAGTTCATTTTCAATGCCCTGATTATTTACAGACAAATTTACAGACAATAAATCTCTCTGCTGACACTTCAAAATAGAAGATTTACCTAAAGTCCACTTCTGAATTGCATAACTCCTACCAAGTGTACTGCAGCACCCGGTAGGCTGTCTTGTTGCTATTAGCAGAATGTTCCTAAGTCACCTGGTTTACAGTCTCTTAGAAAAACAAAGAATAAGACTCCCAGTCCAGACATGGAGTGGCGACAGGTCGCGTTGGTTTAGTGGCTCTGTGACATCATTCAGGTCCCAGGTTATTCTACTTTCTGTAACAGTCATGACTACATGGTACACATGGTTGACGGTCATTATCAAGCATGGAATCCAGAAGGTGATGTCCACATGTTCTGCCGCTTTGAGAAGACCCTCTCAAGAAGTGATCTCTGAATCGTCTCTAACTCTCTGGACTCGGGTCCAAGGTTATGAGAAGGGATCACCCCCAGCAGTGAAAACTTCCCAGGAGTTCTGTCCCATCATCCAAGGAGGAATGCGCTCAGATGACTTGCGAAAGCCAAGGAGGGAGCGGCAGAAGGCACTGACGAAGTCTGCCACATTCCTCTGTGTGTGTTCTCACTTCTGAGGGACAGGAGAGCAGAGAACATTCAAAACCACAGCACGTACCATGCTACCCTGACATTGTGCTCTGCACACGTGTAAGCATCCATGTAAAACAGGTGAGCCAATGGCACGTAGAAATGACAGCATCCTTAGTATGGGTCTTAGTTATACAGAGCCCAGTGACTGCGAAAGCTATCTCTCACCTTTACAAACTTCTGGCTTAGTTTAAAATGATCTAGTCAGAGTTTTCTATTTTATAGATATATTTCTGTGTTTGCTATAGTTGGGGGGAAAAACTGGCTTCTTTACAGAGGATAGAATCCTGTGACAGTGACCAAATGCATTTGATAACCCAAGGAAGAAAAAGCATAGTTCCTAACTTCCAAAGACTACTCAGTGACAGTGCATATGAAGATGGCAACAGGATGGGGAACTTCCTGAGAATGGGTAATCTCACCGTAGGTTACAAAGTAACAACACAACATTTGCCAAGCTTGATTAAAACTGAACATGAGATTTCTGTGATGGATACTGAAACAGAAACAACCCCCAAGCTCTGTGCTCCTAGGGAATCATAAACCAGTTTAGTGCAGCAAACTTGGCTAACCAGACCGACAATTTCTATTCTAGCAGAGTATTTCTTTTAATTTTTTAAAATTTATTTATGTTTGTATACGAGTACACTGTCACTGTCTTCAGACACACCAGTAGAGGGCATCAGATCCCATTACAGCTGGTTGTGAGCCACCATGTGGTTGCTGGGAATTGAACTCAGAACCTCTGGAAGAGCAGTCAGCTCTTCTGCCGAGCCATCGCTCCAGCTCCTCTTCCTTTAATTGTTATAAATCGTCCTTTAGTATTAGCCATTTCTGAAGGAGTGTGCTTCCCACATGCCTCAGTGAGCCAGTTCTCGGGTTCCCACATGCCTCAGTGAGCCAGTTCTCGGGTTCCCACATGCCTCAGTGAGCCAGTTCCTGGGTTCCCACATGCCTCAGTGAGCCAGTTCCCGGGTAAGCAGTCTGAAGCTCTGCGGAACCCTACTTATCCAGTCTGACTCCTGCATAGTCTGCTACGTGTGCGTTCCTAACTGTGGTTCCTGCCCTGTGAGTTTCTGATGAATCTAGTTCACACAGACACACAGACTTGTTCAGGGTCATTTGTGTGTGCTCTCTGACAGAGGTGTCCTTTGATAAGCAGGAGTGTTGTTCTGAGACCACCTGGACACCAAAGTCTGCAGATTAAGTCTCTATGTAAGATGATGTCATAATTGTGTACGGCCTACATATTCCTCCATGAACCTTAACTCACCTCCAGAGTATCTATAATGCTTAATGCCATATAAATGCAATATAAAGAGCTGTTATATTGTACTACTTAGGGAAGAAAGAGAAAAAATAATTGGTACATATTCTGCACAGAGAAACCCTTTTTCCTACATAGTTAAGGAGGGTTGACTCCTTGGAGATGGAACCTATGGGTACCGAGGCCCAACTGTACATCAGAGCTCAACTGCAGACAGGAGCTTCTAGTTGACTGAGAAGGTCGTCCCGAGTCTGGCTTTAAAGGAGCCTTCCCACATCAACCCCATTCCCGTTCCCTCTCCTGTGAGTTCTCTGGTGGCTATTGAATGCTGACTTGTGGTAGAATTTCTTCCCGCACTCCGTACACTCGTAGGGCTTCTCTCCTGAGTGGGTTCTGTAATGGACAGTGAGGTACGACATCCGAGAGAAGGCTTTCCCGCACTCGTTACATTCGAAGGGCTTCTCTCCTGAATGGATCCTGTGGTGGATAGTCAGATATGACATCTGGGAGAAGCATTTCCCACACTCGTAACACTCGTAGGCTTTTTCTCCAGTGTGTGTGCGCTGATGTCTGTTGAGGGCTGAATTCTGGCAGAAGGTCTTCCCGCACTCGCTGCACTCGTAGGGCTTCTCTCCTGAGTGAATTCTGTGATGGATAGTGAGGTAGGACATCTGAGAGAAGAACTTGCCACATATGTAACATTCGTAGGGTTTCTCCCCTCGGTGGATTCTCCGGTGTCTACAAAGGGCTGAATTCTGGTAGAAGGTCTTCCCGCACTCGCTACACTCGTAGGGCTTCACTCCTGAGTGAGTTCTGTGATGCACCGTGAGATAGGACAGCTGAGAGAATAATTTCCCACACTCGTTACACTCGTAAGGCTTCTCTCCGGTGTGCACCCTCTGATGTCTCATGAGCGCCGAGTTTAGGTAGAAGGTCTTGCCACACTCCGTGCACTCGTAGGGCTTCTCCCCTGAGTGGGTCCGGTAATGGACAGTGAGGTATGACAACCTGGAGAAGAACTTCCCACACTCATTACATTCATATGGCTTCTCACCCGTGTGTGTCCTCATGTGGGTTGTGAGCGTGGACTTGCGGCAGAAGCACTTCCCACACTCACTGCATTTGTAGAGTTTGACGCCCGTGTGGATCTTCTGGTGGTCATTGAGTGCTGACTTCTGAGAGAACGTCTTGCCACAGTCGTGACAAACGTAGGGCCTCTCTCCTGAGTGTGTCCTCTGGTGCTGAGTGAGGTGTGTCTTCTGGCAGAAGGATTTTCCACAGTAGCCACATTTGTAGGGCTTCTCGCCTGAATGGGTCCTCTGGTGCTGGATGAGGTGTAGCTTCTGGTAGAAGGTCTTCCCACACTCGGTACACTCGTAGGGCTTCTCCCCCGTGTGCGTCCTCTGGTGGACGGTGAGGGTTCCCTTCTGGCAGAAGGCCTTCCCGCACTGACTGCACTTGAAGGGTTTCTCTCCCGTGTGAGTTCTCTGATGGATGATAAATTTTGACTTTTTGCAGAAGGACTTCCCACACTGCTGGCATTCGTAGGGCTTCATTTCCGTGAGGGAATCCTGGTGGGCACTGAGGTCTGACGTCTGCAGAAAAGCTACTTCAGATTCATTCCAGTCACAGGGCTCCTCTTCCAGGTGATTCAGAAACACAGAGCCCTTTGGGAAGGATTTCTGGCACTCAGCATACTCAAAGGGCTTCTCCAAAAAGTGAATCTTCTGATAAACCCCTTCTTCACTCAGAGCGTCATCATCTCCGTCCCCACTAAATTCATGAGCCTCATCTGGAGGACGTGTTTCCTCAAGCTCGCTGTGGGGGAGGGGCTTCCCGCACCCGGCACACACGTCGGGCTGCAGCTTTGCATAGCTTCCGTCACTGCGGATGAACGCAGAGATACACATCAAGCTCTTCTCGCATGAGCTGCACTTAGGGAGGACCTTCCCCGAGGGAACGAGCTTCGTTTCTCCATCAACGGCCTTACTAGAAGCATCGAGCAGGCTTTTGTAGCTGAACACAGGTGAATTTGACTCGTTCCCCTCATCTTCCTGGTCTTCCTCCATCAGGCTGCTCACGTGCCAGATCTCATCTAAAACGAGGCAAAAATGAACCAATGTTTGTACATTTTCCTACGCAAGGCATGGTCTGAGACTGATACGGGGCCTCTGATTTGGTGTTTAGCCTCACAGCGCTGCTAAGGCTAGCTCACTCTGTTTATTCTTTTGAAATATCACGGACAGATCCCATTGGTAGGAAGGAGAGTAAGCTGATAACACATAGCACCTCTGATATGGGCTGCTTCGAAGTGTTTTGTTCACAGACCCAGAGCAATGACGAGCAAAGGAGATGCTGGATAAAAGACTGACAGAAGAAGTCTCAGCAAACACAGAGAGCCTTCAGGCCAGCCAGGAGCACCATTACACAAGAAAGAGAACACGATATACGGAAACAGGGCCTCAGTTTGGTGCTGTCAAGTACTGTTCCCTGTATCATTTCACACTGGGAGAGAGGTTAGCATCTACTGCATGGCTGACCACACTGACACACTGTGCCACGTCTCTAGGCATGGGTGACCACACCGACCACTGTGC